CGGTGCAGTATTTAGAGAAGTTCGCACTGGGTGATGCAGCTCGCCCTTGGCTAGCTGAGATACTAGTAGTTCCTGGACCACCACCACCATGGATCACAACAGGGGTTCCCATTCTGTGGAACACCCTCAACTTTGAAGCAAAAGGGTGGCAAACATTTGTGTGCAGCCGCATAGATCCGAGCCAAAATGAAAACAATCTTCTAATTCGCCGGGCAGTCTTAGTTGCATCTATCATGTCCGGGTACCCAATTAATGTGGGTGCCATCATGTCGGTGGTTATCAGGCAGGGTGAGAGCTCCTACTTGTATCCCAACACTATCACGGAGTATCTCACGGATGCGGGGGTGGAGCCTAGGAGCTTTGATACGAAGGTTCGGGCTAAGAAGCCTTTCTCCTGGTATTATCTGAAGGACCCAAGGAACCCGATGAACAAGGGTAAGTTGAATACTACCGTAGGCCAATCTGATGAGTCATCAATGGTAGTTGCGGATTCTGCTACTATGCCTTCTATAACTTCCATGCCTCCCACAATAGCCGGGCCTTCCATCGAGACAGCTGGCATGCCACCACCTCCATCTTCTAGACCATCAACATCAATATCAGTGCCTTCCTCCTCCACATATCCACTCACTGTGCTGCGAGTCTCCCAGACATTGGCGAGTTTCAACAACTGGATGCAGACAGCTACTACAAAGCTGTCTGACATATCCAGTACCGTCGCAGCTCAGTATTCTGTGCCAGCAGTACCACAGGTTCCTCCGTCAGTGGAGGAAACCTTGAAGAAGATATTGGATAATCAAAAGACCATTATGGATACCTTGGTGGCACATGGGGGAGCAATTGAGGAGCTAGGTAAATAGGTGAAGAAGATGAGAAAATCCCAAGCCTCGAGAAAATCAGTGGACAAGTTGAGACGTGAAGTGACCAAGATAGCAGCAATTGGTGATCTTCCCTTTGACTTACTGATGGAGACAGATCCATCAGTACCAGCAGACCCAACAGCAACATCAGCACCAGTGGCACCAGCTGGCCAGTCTGAGGAGCCAGACCTCGCTGCCCACACTGTTGAGGAGGTGTTACAAATGTTCACCAGCCCCGCTTCTCCCCGAGGAGAGGATGATGAGATCCAGTTGGAGGAGCCTGAGGGTGGTGATGCTGCTATAGACACCGAGACCACATAGGGAGTCATCTTTACTCGTTTTCCTCCTTATTTTGATTTTTGTTAAGCATTGAGGACAATGCTTATTCTTATTCAGGGGGTGGTCTATTTTGATTTGATACGACATTTGACATTGGCCCGTAATAACTATAATACTCTCTCTTTATTTTTATTTTTATTTTCATTATGTATATATTTTCCTCTCTCTATTGATGTATATATTCTCTTGCCCTTTCTCGGTTTGTATATTCATTTTTGCTTTTAGTAGTTTATTTCATAGCTTATTTATTCTGTTTTCTTAGTAGTCGAGCTTCTTATTTACTTTAATAGCTTCTTTTTGATTTAGTAGCTTCTTTTTATGTTTTAGTGATCAATAAGCCTTTGATTTTCTTAATGCCACGGTTCTTTCCAAAGGTGGTTTTTGTGTGAACCGGGTGGCTCTTCCCAATGATGGATAGCGTGACAACTTTCTTAAGGGATTGAGTCCGTTTTTGATGTTTAGGTAATAATGAATAAGAGAGTCAAGCATGCTTCACTTGGTACCAACATACTTAACTACACGCTTATGGTTAAAAACAAGTTCTTGGAAAGAAATAGCTCTAGTTAGTGACCTTGTGACTCTTGCGTAACTTAGGCAATCATCGAGTGATTTAGTTGAACCATTAGTGATTTTCAATCTTGAATACAGTTGTTGTGGGACCTCGACTCTATCCCCTTTAACAATCCAGCTGTGTGAGAGGTGAGATGTTTTGTTTCAAGTCCAAGTACCCGTGCGAATGGTCTAGAACTTGTCCTGAATATGTTTCTAGGCAAAATTTTAAGTTTTGCTTGGCTTGAGAAGTGATTGTAGGCTCTCCTTGACCCGTTTTGAAATTTTTCATGGCCCACCAATGATGTTATCCCTAGTCAACCCTTTTGAGCCTAAAGCCTTTCTCATTTGATAACCATGTTACATGCCTTTACCCATTTTGTAGTGACCCTCTCTTGACACTCGAGCTTTTCTTAACACTCAAGAGAAGCAATTGGCGAAAACATAAGTATGGGGGAGTTACGAGGAGTTTGAAAGTGGTATCAAGGTACAAAAAAATAGAGAAAAGAAATGAAGAAAAAGAAAGAACAAAAGAAAACACAAAAAGAAAATGAATAAATTGAAGAGTTGAAGGGATTCAAAGAAAAGCAAAAGTGCAAAGCATGGAGAAAACAAAGAAGGAGAAAATGAATATCATGACTAAAAAAGAGTGATGTCAAGTCTCTCTAGTTCCCCTAAGGAAAAAAGAAAATGACTCAAAGAGTCGGCAAAGCATGAGCCAAAAAGAAAAAATGGAGTGCTTAAGGAAAGATGAACCCGTTCTATTCCAACATTTACTACCTTATTCCAAAAGCCTTCATTACATGCCGAAAAAGCCCTACGTGATTTCAAGCCGAGTGAGCTTACATTAGTGGTGATTTATATGAGGGGAAAGCATATGGTACTTAGAGTCATACTTGTGACATTATTTTGAGAGTGATGAGCGAAATTTTCACAAATCATTCAATTGAGTGCTACATTCTTAAGTGAGATGAGCTAACGGAGAGTATAGGAGGAGGAGTTTGGGATCCACAGTGACCTATATGAAAGTGCGAACTTCCTTGATGAGTAAAGTCAACTCTTGATGCTCAAGTGTCATATTAGAGCTATTTGTGCTTTAACCTTCAAAACATTGCCATGTTGATGATTCATGAGTGAGTGGGTAATTGTTGGTCCCAATTGATGTGTGTTTGGTTCACCTTAGCTTAGCTGGAATAGCTCTTTTCTTGTGGAGGTTGGAATTACCTTATTTGCTTGAGGACAAGCAAAAACTTAAGTTTGGGGGAGTTGATAAGTGGGGATTTTGACTACTTATTTGTGCCTTTTGACTTTCGTTTTAGTTCAAAAATGCTTAAAGATATTCCCGAAAACTGATGAAATATGCTTACTTGTAGGAGTATTGGAAAATAAGCCAAAGTGATGAAATTCAACTTTAGAGGAGTGATTTTGAACAAGGATAAAAGTCAAGCAAAAAGGCTAAAGTGCGGACCGCAGAATTATGTCTGCGACCGCAGAACAAGAAGAAAATTTGACAGTGCTGCAATGCAAAGTGAGGACCGTACAATAATTATGCAGCCGTAGAAGTCAAGGTTCAGAGAGTTGGAAAATCACGACAATCAAGATCTGCGGACCACACTATAATTGTGCGGACGCAGAAATCAAATGTGCGGCCGCACCCAGAATTGTGCGGTCCGCAGAACTCAAGAAGTGCGGCCGCAGTTCAGAATTGTGCGGCCGCAGAAACCACTCATGTCAAGAGATGCAACAAAGTGCGGACCGCACACAGAATTGCGCGACCGCAGAACCTCCCAAAGGGCAATTTTATCCGAAAATTCTAGCTTTGTATAAATAGACTACTTTCACAAAATTAGGTCAAGTTTTGAATACCAGAAAGTGTGTAGCCCTTTTTCTTTACTTTTTTAGGCAACTTTGGCTCATCTTGTTGATTTTACATTGGATTTTCATTTATTTATCTTTCAAAGTGAGTTTTATGATCTTTTCTTCTTTATTTTCTTCATTACCCACTATGAGTAGCTAAATTTCTAGTTAGGGTTGTGACCCAACCCTAGTGTGAGAACTGAATGGGTGTTTGATTTAGGGCTTGTTTATGATTGGGTGTGTATTATTTAGCCTAGTTCTTGCTATAATTGTAGAATTAATGGTTGCAAATATTGGTTCAAGCCTATTTGATTTGGTCTTTACTTGAAAAAGAGAGACTTAGTCTAGAAAAACTTGGCTAACAAGAGTTTGGGATTAAATCACAAGATTGATAGTCCCAATTAAAGGGTTGAACCTAGAGATAGTAAAACCCGACTTGAGAAATTTGTCAATTGTTTAGTTCAATTCCCATTTGGACTTGAGAAATCCAAATTGGGCAAAACCACTCTCTTACCGAGAGGTATTGAGTGGGTATTTGAATGTTGATTGCTATAATACACCCTGACCAACGAAGCTCGCTTTAAAGCCCACAACCGGTTAGGCAAACACCTAGGTGGAAGCCACAGCCCTAGACCTTTTACACATTTGAAAAACAACAATAAAAATATTCTTCTCTAGTTTCATATTTTTCAATTGCATTCCTTAGTATAATTTTAGAAGTAAAATCAAAACAAAGTTTATGAAAGTGCAACTTAGACAATTCACGGGCCTAGATCAAATACATACCACTAATCCCATCTACGCTCTCTGTGGATTCGATCCCGACTCCTAGTTGGGTATTATTATTGCAATCGACCGCTTCACAACCCCAATTTGAGGTGTGACTTGGGCGAGATCAGATTTCAAGATTAAACATGTTCTGGTGGATCCAGTAAGTTCAGCTAATATCATCCAATGGAGAATGTTGGAGCAAGCCAAGCTCACCGGAAGTATCATTTTGGCCACAAAACTCCTCGCCGGGTTCAATCTGGCAAGCGTGACAACCCGAGGAGAAATCATATTGCTCACGAATGTCGAGGGGGGTGATGAAGACGACCCTTTTCTAGGTAGTGGACGGCGATATGGGTTACAATATCATCACGGGGAGACCGTGGTTGCACGAAATGAAGGTTGTGCCATCAACATATCATAATTGTTGAAATTTCCAACTCCCGTATGAGTTAAACAAATACGAGGTGACCAACCGGCAGCAAGGGAGATGAATACAATCTCAATCTCCAGTAGCAAAGGGAAGGGAAGGATCATGCGGCATAGCAATTACAGGAGCTGTCGCCTGTTTCCACGCCGAGCGAAGTCAACCAGGGGGAAGGGGCGTCGGAATCCTATCAGGTTCGAATGTATTTCAGGGTACCAGAAGAGACTGACGCAACAAAGTCCACAACAGAAGAACTTGAGCAAGTCGCATTGTTCCAGAAATTCTTAGAGAGGAAATTCCACTTGGGAATAGGACTGCACCCCGAACTCAGGTCTGGTTTTATTGAATTTCTTAAATTTAATGTCGATTGTTTTGCATGGTCGCATGCGGATATGACAGGTATCCCGCTGGAAGTGGCCGTACACAAGCTAAGCTTGGATCACAGCATTCCTCAAACATCCTATTGCCGAGGCCAGAAATAAATTCATCAAAGAAGATGTAACTCGCCTGCTTGATATCGGTTCAATCTGAGAGGTAAAGTATCCCGACTGGCTAGCTAACGTAGTAGTAGTTCCAAAGAAGAAGAATAAATTTCGCATGTGCGTAGACTATAAGGACTTAAATAAGGCGTTCCTAAAAGATTCATTCCGATTGCCAAACATTAATCAAATGATTGAGCAATGGCCGGACGCGAGTTAATGAATTTCCTTGATGCTTACTCTGGGTACAATCAAATAAAAATGGACCCGGAGGATCAGGTTAAAACTTCGTTCATCATGAATTTCGGCATATATTGTTACAACGTGATGCCCTTCGGGCTAAAGAATGCCGAATCTACTTTTCAACGTCTCGTGAACAAAATATTTGAAAAGAAAATAGGAAAAACCATGGAAGTTTACATAGATGATATGCTTGTTAAGTCTTTGAACGCAGGTGATCATCTCAAATACTTGCAAGAAACTTTTGACATCTTAAGGAAGCACAACATGAAGCTTAACCCCGAGAAGTGTGCATTCGGGGTCATCTCTGATAAGTTCTTGGGATTCCTGGTGTCACAAAGGTGGATCGAGGTTAACCCCGATAAAATCAAGGCCATCGAACACATCTCGGAATAGCTATCAAGCGTAAAAGAGGTTTAGATGCTAACCGGGAGATTGGCCGCTTTGAGAAGATTCATTTTCCGGTCTTTGGAGAAATGGCATCATTTTTTCTCACTGCTCAAAAAGAAGAACAACTTTGAATGGACCCCGGAATGTTAACATGCTTTGAGGGATTTGAAAAGGTATTTGTCAGGTCCTCCAATACTATCAATATCGGAAGAAGGCGAAAAACTGTTAGTCTACTTAGCAGTCTCAGAGGTAGCGGTAAGTGCTGTTTTAGTCCGTGAGGATGAAGGTACGCAATCTACTATCTATTACATTAGTAAAATTTTAACGGGAGCAAAAACTCGCTACCCACATCTAGAGAAATTGGCCTTAGCTCTCGTAGTCGCCACTCGAAAACTAAGGCCTTACTCCCAATGTCATCTTGATAGGTGTACTATGGGTATACCGAACAACAACCAAATCAAGCACGGGGGAGACTCCTTTTTCTCTTGTGTACGGGGCAGAAGCCCTGTTCCCAACGGAAGTAGGTGAGACTACCATGAGATATTTCCGGTCAAACGAAGAAGCAAACAATGATGCAATGTTAGTCAATTTGGAGCTGCTCGATGAACGCAGGGACTTGGCACATATAAGGATGGCAACTCTAAAACAACGAATAGAGAGATATTACAATCGAAGGGCCAACCTCTGTTACTTCAAAGTAGCAGACTTCGTTTTAAGGAAAGTAACTCAGAACACCCGGGAACTCAATGTGGGAAAGCTGGGTCCTACGTGGGAAGGCCCTTACCAGGTTTCACCTGTCACCGGGAAAGGGTCATACGAATTAGAGAATCAAGATGGAGAAAAGTTTCCAAGCAACTAGAACGTGGCACACCTCAAGAGATACTATTGCTGATGAACATTACATGTACTGAAAGTATGTGCTGCACTCTTTTATCATTCGTCCGGTTTTTGTCCTGATAGGATTTTTCTGGCAAAGTTTTTAACGAGGCAGCAACGGAAAGCATACTACGAAGGAAGTTTCAACAGTAGTAATAAGACCTTTAAATGACAAGGCACACAAGCAAAGAACCACTACAGAGCGGTTAGATAGTCTTTTGCTCGATGGCAAAGTTCCTACTGGGAAGTTGAGTTTGATGTCGAATAGAGATTACTCGACTGTTCACAAGTGCAAGCCACTGGGGAATTGTTAGATAATATTTGGCTCGATAGCATAAATTCCTATGGGGAAGTGAAGTTTGTTACTGAACTAAAGATTATCTAGCAATTCACTAGTGGAATCCTCGAAGGTGTAAAACTCCAGTGTTCTAATTCGCATTCGAACACTGGGGGAAGATATGAGGATATGGCAACAATGACTGTCACTTCGACTGAAATACAAAACTCGAAAATATAATTATATTATCGGGACCGGGGACTGCACGGCCAGCCCCGTAGAAACAAGTTGTACAAGTTAACCACAAGAAATGGCAATTTCTTTTTAGCATAACAAATTTTTATGTACTTTTGAAAATGGAAGGAATAAAGTAAAGTCCTTTTATTTCTATCTTGTTTCTTATCTGAACGATGAATTGATTTTATTATTTGAAAGTTAAACAAGTACTTCAAATGCTAGTGCTCGTAATGAACAGAAGACGTGCTCTCAAGAGCACCGTAAACATAAGAGGGCCCTCTCTTGTGAAAACCCTCATGTTAAAGGGTTGATTTCGGAAGAACTTATACCCGTAATCCAAATGCTTTTGAGGGATAATACACCCAAAGCCTTGCATGAAAAGATGCAAAGAGCAAATTTGCGCAAATGTTTAAACGAAGGTACGCAGAAAGGGAAACTTATACGATACTTGAACGAAAAAGTGTTTTTATTTTCAATAAATGTGCCAACACCAACACAAAGTTTGAAAAAGAAAATCAAAAACTAAGCTGCTGCATCTCCGGAGCCCGGAGGAAGAGAAGCATCCGCGCTCCTAGGGGATGTGGGTAGATCTGCCGCCAGTTAGATATCTTGGCCTTCATCATTTCAGCCTTCAGCATCATCGCCTTCGGGTTCCTCTTCAGTTCCCGAGAACTCAGAACCAAAACTAGAAGAATCGGTAACATTAGGCATGGCCGGAAGACCCCTTTTAGCAGCCAACTCTAGCTCACGAGCTTTAACGATTTCAGCATTAAAGTTAATGACATACGCTTTAGCCTCTTCCAAGGTTTTATTCCTCATGTTGTACATAACATATATTTTTTCCACAATGAGGGAAGCCGTTTGGCGCTTGAGTTCATCTTTAAGTTGGTCAACCTCGGTAGAAAGGTTTTCCGGCGCAGATCTAACGGACCGGAGGCTGACATCAAGATCACGTACAATATAGCTGAAAAGCCTATTATGATCAGTAGTACTTTTATGCTTCTCCTCCAGTTGGACACACTTCACCCCGGTGGCGGCAAGCTCTTCAGTTTTGAAGTTCAAGGCCGCCTCCAAATTGTTCAATCTTTCAGCGGAGGCAGCCTCACGATCGGATGCAGCAAGAACGACATTATGGATTTCAACATATTTTGCCCTAGCTTCTTCAAACTGAGCCCTCAACGGGGCGACTTCTTGCTCGCTTTGCTACAACCGAGCCTCCAACATAACGACCTCAGCAGCTTTAGCTTCCATCTCTGAGAGGCGAGCAACAGTTTGGTCCCGCTCGGCCAAAAGTTGATCACGCTTGGAGGTAAGTTCCTCCTTATCTCGAATCAACTTTTGGAGGCCCTCGAAAGCAAAAAAGTTGGCCTGCAAAATGAAGAATACAAACTCAAAATCCTACTATATCAAAGATAGAAGAAATAACTAAGGAAACGAAGAATATACCGCTGATGCGTTGTGCATAGCATTGTTCAACAAATATTCTCCCGATAGAGCTTGTATCTTTTCCCTATCTTTTTCTGCAGTGTATGGTGGTCGTGCTTGCTGAAATTTATCATTCCCTTATGGAAGATCTTGGGGGAATAAAGGTTCATCAATCGAGCTAGGGTTAGCTCTTCTCCCATTTTCTGGCACAGGTGCCGAAGACAAGCGACTGTCCTCCATACAAAAGGACTAACCTGTGCCAAACACACCTGGTAGTGGATGCAAAATTCCATGATGATGGAGTCAGGCTCTCCACTCAAATAGAATGGTCCCAAGGTGAAGGGATACGTGTAAAAATACGTAAAACCTTTCTTGGGTAAGGTTATCCGCTCTGCCAGGTCGGGAGAGATATTGTCTAAATCTTGACAATGGCAATCTTTTTTCACAGTAGGATTACTAGAAGGACGGATGGAAGAAAGATATACGCTAACAGCCCACATACGAGGATGAGCAGAAGGATACTTCTCTTCAATGTCTTTGGTGGTGACAAGACTCTTTGGGATGATGGAGCTCACCGCAGGAGGAGCAACGTCATCAAATTTACCTTTGTTCTTTAAAGAACTAGGGTTTCTAGAAGAAGAGGCCATTTTTTATCAGAAAGGAGGGAAGATTTTTTTTCAAGAAGAAGGTTAAAGAAAGGTTGAAGAAAAAGTACGAGTTGAGTAAAGAGAGTTTGAGAAAGTGTAGAGAATTATGAAGTGTAAATGAAGAGGTTTGAGGCGTATAAGTAAAGGTATAGGCGGCTAAAATCGTAGCCATGGTTACCTCGATAACCGGCAAAATCGATGCTAAATCATAGGATGACATTCAGATCCCAATCCATTTTTATCCTCATACCCCTAATAAACCTATATAGGTACCAACTACCTCTGGTAAATTCACTTATGCTTCAGCATGGGAAACAATTAGAAAGAAGAAACAGATCTTGTTCACCAACAAGATGACATGGCATAAGAAAATCCCCTTTAAATGGTCCTTTTGCCTTTGGAGAACCTTCAGAAACAAATTGCCCACTGATGATAATGTCATTTCCTTTGGTCAACCTACTGTCACTAGATGTGTGTGATGTATCAAACCTAAAGCTGAATCAGTAGATCACATTTTCAGTTTGGGCCAGTTTGTTAAGGAAGTATGGAGGCAATTCACAGGTCCAACTGGCTTTCCTTTCCAAGCATGCCTCTTAGATTGCTTTTGATGAAATGGTGGATGCAGAAGAGCAGGAATGATACACATAAACTTCTCATGGATACACTCCCAATTATCATTTGCTGGAACCTTTGGAAAAACAGATGCAGTGTTAAATATGGCTCCAAACAATCATCTATGATCAAAGTTCTATTATCCATCAACTCTGACATCAACCTTCTCCTCAGAGCCACTTATCCTTCCTTTCACTGGCCTCTTCACTGGAATGAACTTTACTCCACAGTTGAAACAATGCAACATCACATATGCACATCACAGGTGACTTGGCACAAATTTGAGGATGGATTTGTCAAGCTGAACAATGATGGCAGTGACCTCAGCAATCCAGGTAAAATAGGTGCAGGGGCAATTATTAGAGATCACTTGGGGAGATTTATCCATGCCATACCAAGTCCACTTGGAGAAGGAATCAATAACATGGCAGAAATTGAAGCAACCATTATTGGCATGAAGTGGTGCCTGGAGAACTGCTACTTCAAAGTGCATTTAGAAGCTGACTCTGCATTACTTATTCATTGGATCAACCATGAATCTGAGCCTCCCGGGAGTTTAGAGATACAACTGCAGAAACTGATTGACCTCTGCTCCCAGTGTCATGAATTCAAATGTTCTCATATTTATAGGGAAGCTAATTGTCCTGCTGATTCTTTATCTAAGCTCAGCCATGATCTCCCTCAAATCACCCATTTTGAGAACATTCCTGACCTTCCCAGGCAAATCAGAGGTCAAATTAGACTTGACCAAATGAACACATAAGCTTTTAGACATAAGAAAACAAGCAAACTTCAGCCTTCATCAAATCACACTTACACCTTTAATTCTAATGAATATGGTTGAACATCAGAAATACCTGGGAGCAGATCATACAGTCCAAATACCAAAGTTCTGGGGCAGCAATTTCAATCATACCAGCTTGCTAAAACTCTTCAAGAAAAAGGCTATGACACTCTTTTTTTATCTAACCGTTTTTTCCTTTTTTGCAGGTGAATCCACTGATATCCTGCCCTGTCTAATACTTCATTTTCAGTGTGTGGTATTAACACCTTTGGTGTTCATTCTACTGGAAATCAATCAGAGGATGGGAGCAGGCATATGGTGCCATCTCTATGGGTACACTTGGATTCCAAAACAGCACCAACATAAACAAAAGCACCAACTCCTAAGAACACACACACATACACCTTCCCTACCCTATATCAGAAGAAACATAAACAGCAATACCACAAACAACCTCATCACCCATATCTGCAACTTGGGCCCACACCAAACAACCAGGAATTCAGTTATACACCACACCATCATCACAAAGCTACTACCATCCAGCAATCCAAATCACATTCAATATTTCCAAAAACCAAAACACCACCACTATACCAGCATTTCTTCAGGGACCAGTAAACACAAGAACCTGGATGCCCACCCATCTGACAGAAATGTCCTGTTTTTCTCTAACCATGGTTTCTCTTTTGCAGGTACCTATAATTTAAAACAATTGACATACCCTCAATGTGTGGTATTAGTACTTATAGTGCTCATCCTATTGAGGGTGTATCAATTGACTAAAGCTAGTAGCATCTACAAAATTAAGCATATTCAGCTCCAAAACCTACTTAAAGGATTCACATTAACTCATCAACACCAGCTTCCTGAAATCCACCCTTGCAGTTGGTACCTCCAGAATAAATCTACCCCCAGAAACCACAAAAACCTGGGCACATATATCATTACTTCCATTCAGTGTTCAAAGAGCAGCAACTTACAAGACTTGCAGCTAACTG